GTACTACATTCTAACCACTGCGTCACCACAGCTCTAAGAAACTAAGAGGTTTGGCAATGATTCCTAAACTGGCTCATAAAAGAAGAAAATTCCCCTGGATTTGTTGTTTTCACTTATTTAGCAGATTGCAAAGGGCACAGGCAATGCACTTGAAGAACAAGAGGAAGAGCTGCTACCAAGGCAATGATCAGATAAAAGGGGCCTGAGTTTGGGCCAAAAAAGTAACATGAATAATGGCATCAGACAAGACCCTCCCAAGTTGACACAAAGGGAAGGAGTTGGGACAACCTTGACTCTTTTATGACTCGTGGCTGGCTCAGGAATTCTGGGAGTTGAAGTCCACGAGTCATAAAAGAGCCAAGGTTGCCTACCCCTGCCCTAGGGTCAGTTCATTATACTCTTTTTACTCTGAAATTAAATTAGCAATGTATTCTACTTGGGGGTACCTCAAATATTGTTTGTGGTTCCCTAGTTGCCAGTATGTTTGTTTCCAAATGCAATTCGAAGTGCTGAGCTTGCTTTTTAAACTTCTGGACAGTTTGGGTCTTCTTCAAACAGAGCCTGCTGCCCATATGCAATCAAGCTGAGAAGCACTGTTTCAGCTCTCTCCCTTAGAGATGCTAGAGAGTTTTATCCTCTGAATGGATGCCTCCCAAATACCTAGATCACTATTTTTTAATCTTGGCAACTTTAAATTGTGTGGCCTTCAACTTCCAGTACTTCAGTGGGAGTTGGTCCACATATCTTAAAGATGAAAAACACTGGCCTACATAATGCCAGTGGATCCAGTCCAGCCTTGGTCAGATAAACCACACTTTTTCCTAGCACACCGATACAGTATGTAAAGCAGAACTGATGGTGCAACATAGAGAATATACTGCCTTGCCTACCAACTACAGATGAACCTAAGGCTCTTGTTTTTTTTTCAAGCAAGAGTGAGTAGAAGGTGCAAATGGATGACTTAATATAAACTGTTGCCATGAATGAACTTCAGGACCTTGGACTTCATAGTTTTCTGATACCATCTCCACCACCTCATCTTCCAATTCATTTAAGCTAGACAAGGTTTCTGAAGCATAAACTTAAGAAACAATACCCTTCATTTACCTAAATTAGAAGTTCTCATTCCTAAGTCACCATGCTGCTTTTTAAATGCAGTTAATTTACTCTAATCAAACTAGGGGCTAGCATGCTGGGCTTGAACACTGGTGATTTAAGGTCAAATCAGTGAACAGACTTTGCCTGGAAAAAGTTATACTTTAAAATTATTTATACACCTAAAGAGACCACACAGATTGCTGAAGCTACAAACATCAAAATGTATTTCCC